GGACGGAGAGTGCGTAGCGGGTCGGCGCTTCACGCGGTGGGCCATGTGACCTGGGCCGCGCTTCTTCTTCCGGAGGTGCTCTCGCTGTTTAGTGCGTCGTGCTAGTTTATGCAAGCTGCTGGCGAGCGTCCGCAGAGGATCTGGCCGCGTGCGCGCCAGGAGTTGCAACGGCATCGCAGCCTCAGGCGCCCCCCTCTCTGGCATCGGAGCGCGCGCTCGTTGCGTCGCCAGACAAGGCTAGCGAGGTAGGCGCATGGTCGGAGCGCTGGAGATGCCGGGTGGCTGGTGCTGAGCGTGCTTGAAAACTTGCGTTGGAACGTCTTGGTAGCAGTCGTCTCCCAGTCGATGGCGATCACGGTCCTGGGCCTCCTGTTCCTGGGCCTGTTCAGCCTCCTGCGGGGCCCCCAGGCGGCGCCAGGGGGGCCCCGTGCGACGCCGCGCCGATCCAGGGCATCGAGAATCTCCAGAAGTTTCTAGAAGCATCGGGGGCCCTGTTCGAGTAGGTGCCGGAGGACGTGCTGAAGGGGCCTTGGGTTACTGTGCTCGCGTCTAGTGATGCCAATATACTGGAGTTCGGGGGGGGGGGGCCTGATGGTTGCCCTCAAGCATATCCTGAGGTCGTCGGAGGCTTTCAACCGCCAGGTGGTCCTCTTGGCGGATAACTTACCGCTGGCGTTGGCGGCCTGCAAGGGCCGATGGGGCATCGCATCACCTTCTGCATCCCCTTCGTGAGCTGGCCTGCCTGTCATTGGTATCTGGCGCGCGTTTCCACGTGCGTTGGATCCCGTCCGAGGTGAACCCGGCTGATGTCCCTTCCAGAGGCAAGCTGGGCTGGTTCGTGGCCCTCGCATGCGTCCTCGTCCTGCGGGTCGCTGCTTTGGCTCCAACCTCGAGGGCGTGGGCGCGCTGCAGATCCAGCCAGCGCACGCCACCGCGTCCGCTCTGAGTGTCTCGGCCGCTCCTGCGGATGGCGCCGAAGCCCCTGTCAGGCAAGCGGCCTCGCCAGCGGGCGGAGCCGGACTCCGGACTCGCGGGCGGGCGCGCTGAAGGCGCAGCGGGTGGCCTCCGCGTCTCGCCTCGCGGTGGCTCGCACTCCGCCCGGTGGGCAGCCTCGGCCCGCTGGTGGGCCTGGCTGCGACGCCGGGCACGAAGTTGCCGCGCGCGGGCGCGGCGACGCTGTTCCTGCAGCGCTGCCGGGACATGGGCGCGGTTTGGCAGAGCGCCGGCGAGCTGGACCCCTTGTTGGTCGCGTTCTTCAGCGCGCAGTTTCTGGAGGGGGCGAGCGTCGAGGACGGCTCGAAGCTCGCGGCGGGTCTGTCGCATTTCATCCCGGAGCTGTACAAGAGGGCGACGGAGAAGCCTCGCGGGCTCGCCGCTGCCTGGTCGCCTGGCGCCGGAGGATCCCTCCGCGCGCGCGGCTTCCGCTGCCCCGCGAGGCGGCGTTCGCAATGGCTGGGCGTCTCCGCCACCTGGGCTCCCCTCGCATGCGCCTCTGGGCGGTGAACGTTCGCGGCGCCCCTCGGGCCCCGCGAGGCGTTCTTGCTGCGCGGGAAGCACCTGGTCGCCCCGGAGGCCGTCGTGGGCCGGCAGCGCAGCCCGCGGGGCCTGCTGGTCCACGACGCGACGCTGGGCGATCCCGGCAAGACGGGGATGTTCGACGCCGCGGCGCTGCTGGACAGGCGCGAGTGGCTGCTGCCGTGCCTCGAGGCGCTGAAGGCCCAGTCGCTCGACGACGGCAGCCTGTGGGACTTCTCGCCAGCCGAGCTGCAGAGACACTTCGCCGTGCCGGTGAAGGTCCTCGGCCTGAAGTCGCTGCCCCCGCACTTGCACTCGCTGCGCCGCGGCGGCGCGAGCGACGACATCGTCGCTGCCGCCAAGACTCAGGAGGGGGAAATGACGAGAGGACGCTGGGCCACCATCGCGAGCTTTAAGAGGCACGGCAAGACGACGCGCCTGCTGCTCGAGATGGCGAAGGTGCCCGAGGACGCGTTCGCGCTCGGCCGCGCGGCGGAGGCGAACCTCGCGAGCGCGATGACCGATGGCTTCGAGAGTCGGCTGTCGCTGGCGCGACTGCCGCCGCGCATCGCGACCCTGCTAGGCCCAGGGCGGGGAGTGCCGCGCGGGCTGCCGGGGACTTCTTAGAGCACGAGGTGCGGCGCCACTTGCGGCGCGCCCGTCGCGCCAGCGCTGCGCCGCGCCCAAGGTTCATGAAGCGCCGTCTTTCTGGTACTCTTCGCAGGCAGCGGTCGCGTCGCAGGCGCCGTGCAAAAGCTCGGTTACCGTTCGCTCTCTTTCGATCTGCTCAATAGTGCTCGCGAGGGCCACCTCGATCCCACGCCTCAGGAGGTTGTCGTCGGTTGGCTGACCTCGGGATGTATTGCATCGCCAAGGTTTGGCGCGTCCTGCGCGGCGCGGGCGCGTGCCCTTTGCCGCCCCTTGCGGAGCAGCTCCCCCCAGTTTGGCGTCGAAGGCCCTTCTGGCGCTGAGCTCGAGCTCTAGAGGAGTGGCAGCGCTACGCTTATGTTCAGTATCATGATCATCAAAGTATGCATTGCTGCCAGTATCCTCGTCTTCCTCGAAAGCCCTCGGACGTCGTTCATGTGGGAGACGGAGTAGATGAAAGATCTTATGCGTAGCCCAGTCTTTTTCGACGCCCGCTGCGATTCTGTCAATTTAGAGTCCCTGTGGAAGAAGGCAGCTTGCATATCTGCGTGGCATGGCGGCAGCTTGCCATCCCTTTGTTCGCGCTGTTCTGGCAAGCGTGGTTTCTGCAGTATGACAATACCGAGTTGTCTGGCAATGTTCCTGGAGGGCACGAGTGGACCAGCTTTGCCACTCCTTATCCTGTTCAGTTTGTTAGTGTTGCCGCTAAGAACATTCGGGCGACGAAATCTATACATATCCACTGCTCCCTGACCATGCCCATCTTGAACCCAGGAGCTGTGTATGCGCCCTCCTGGCCAAGCCAGGAGGGCGTGGCGTATACACCGCTGCGGGGTTGAGGATGGGCCTGGCCTGGGAGCAGTGGATATGTATAGATTTCGTTGCCCTAAACATGGTCCTTGCTGCTGGGAGTTTAAAAACTGATAGGCTGAAACGTATTGCACTGGACCTGTAATGCGGCCAAGTTTGACCAGTCTTCCTGTGCGGGATCGGGTGCTTGGCGTTCAGATGTTCAGTACCGATCGCTTTATGACCCCTCTTTCAACTGCCGTCTGAATCTCGTCAGCGGCGGCCCCGACGCGGTGCCTTCGCGCCCGCCTTACGATGAAAACCATCGTCTGGTCAGAGTAGAGAGCGCCCGGGATGGATGTGTTCAGCACTTTAAGCCGAGTAATGTCACATCTGCCCGCAGGAACACCGTTCCGTAATCCTCAAGGCTCCCACCCGCCCATTTTCACTGTCCCTTTCGGGTGCTTGGCGTCCAGATGCTCAGTACCGATCGCTTTCTGACCCCTCTTTGAACTGCAGTCTGATTCTCGACAGCGGCGGCCCCGACGTGGTGCCTTCGCACTCGCCTCGCGATAAAAACCATCGTCTGGTCAGAGTGGAGAGTGCCCGGACTACATACACACATACACACATACATATATGGGGGATTCCGGCCCCGGGGACCCGCAGGCCCCCCCCCTTGTACATAGGTAGTGCCCCCCTCCCAGGAACCTTCCGGGACCCGCCCCCGAGGCTCAGAACAGGCTTTTCACACACACACACACATATATATATATATGTATACATACATACATACATACATAGATAGATCGATGTAGATGTATGCACATGCGTGTGTTTAGATCTATTCTGATACGGTTCAATGCGGCGCCCACGCCCATCGTTGGAATTACATGTCTACCAAAAATATTACAAATAGATACGGCGCCATGTCTCCACTGCCAGGCCGTAGGCCGCTCAATGGCCACGAACAAGGAAGACAATACACATGCCAGTCAGGACGACGATGCTGATGATGAGGAGGAGGAGGAGGAAGTGAAGTGGGAAATTGGACGGCCCCGCCTGAGCGAAAAGAGTATTCGAACACCATGAATCATTGCCCGTGCCCTTCCCACTCCTCCAGGGAGGCCCGTCTGAGCGAGGAAAATGTGCGAAGTCATTGTTATTTATCAGGCTTCATGCCCCTCCCACTCCTCCAGGGAGGCCCCGCTTGAGCGAGGAGGGTATTCGACAACCATTGTATGTATCAGATTTCGTGCCCCTCCCACTCCAGGGAGGCCCCGCCTGCGCGAAGAGGGTATTCGAAAGCCATGGTACGTATCAGGCTTCGTGCCCCTCACACTCCTCCAGGGACGAACGCGTTTCTTGAACAGCCGTCGTCTTCCTCCGCAAGCCCCCCCGGAGTTCGTTCTGACAAATACCAGATACGAATAAATACGGCGCGGCACAGCCATTGTTTGGAACATAGATACGAATATATATATATATATATATATATATAAAAAAATATATACATATGTGTGTATGTATGTATGTATGTATGTATGTATGTATGTATGTATGTATGCATGCATGCATGTATGTATGTATGTATGTATGTATGTATGTATGTATGTATGTATGTATGTATGTATGTATGTATATATATGTATGTGTTCTCAGAGAAAATAGATACGGTCCCACATTGTTCGATATGTTGAAACATAGATACGTTTAGGTACTGCGGCGCTCTCGCGCACGCCGGGGGCGCGCATCAAAAAAACATATATGTATATGTGTACATGTATATGCATATGTGTATATAATTGTCGTCGATGTAGAGAAATAGATACGATGGGCTTCTCGCCTGCACCAGGGCGCGATCGCATTTGAACGCATCTACTATTGTTAGATACGTCTTGCAGGGGTAGATCTTGGTCCTGCGTCGTTTGTGGACGGTCCCGAGGCCTGGCAAGGGCCCCCGAGGGCCCAAAACGGTCCAAAATATTTCGCCCCGATTTGTGTTTTAACGACGCGATCATGCCTGGGGCCGCGACGCCCAGCCTCAGGATCGGTGCCCGGCAGCACGTTCGCCAGGGTCTGCTGCGGCCTGGCGATCAGGGGCAACGATAGGGGGGGCATAGACATAGGGGCGGATGCATCGACCCCCAATCGCCCATTGATCGCCGATAGGGGCCCGATAGCCCCAAACTGCCCAGGAACGTGCGGATTCACTATCGGGGGCCTAACGCCGATCTATCGGCGATGTATCGCCGATTCTAGGTCGATGTCCCCCCCCCTATGCTAGTCCCCCCCTATCGTTGCCCCTCAGGCGATGAAGGCGGCGCTCTTCCTGACGGCGGCGAGGGCCCCCGCGCCCCGCCCCCCGGGCGAGGAGATAGGGCCGGGGGCGGCCGGGCACCAGCGTCGGCGGTGGCCCAGCTCGGGTTCTGGCTGGCAGAAAGAGGGGAACAAGCCGTAACATAAGGAGGAGGAGGAGGAGAAGGAGGAGGAGGAGGAGGACCAGTGTAAACCCAAGAAGCATCAACGATGCTGGAGTAAATTCTCCCTCCGAGCTCCCTCTTCATAGGCCCCTACAGCGGTTCATGTCCATTGATGAAACTGCCTCGTTTGAGGAAACCCGTCTGGAGACCCTGAAACATGCCAAAACATTGTTCTCGGGATTCCAACGCCACGGATCAACCTGACTGTTGCGCTTTGACGGTCCTGAATCGTGCCAGAACGCCAGTAGTAGGACTTCAACACAGAACCTTTCCAAAACACCATGTCTGGTACGTTGATGATGGGAACCCGTGAGATCCTTCACAATTTTATATACGAATGCGTGCGGCGTTAAAGCAAGAGTCCCACTTTGAAAAGGAACCGCCTTCAATCCGTGTTGCTCTTGCAACTTGTTTAAACGAATGTGCGACGCGCTAAGGCGAGAGCCACATTTTGAAAACCTCCCGCCCTCATTCAGTGAAGCCCTTGCACATTTTGAAAACGAATGTGCGCGGCCCTAAGGCGAGAACCACACTTTGAAAAGGAACCCTCTTTCAATCCGTGAAACTTTTGTAAAGTTTTCAAACAAATGTGCGCCGCGCTAAGGCGAGAGCCACATGTTGAAAACCACTCGCCCTGAATCCGTGAAGCTCTGGCAAATGTTTAAAACGAATGTGCGCCGCGCTGAGGCGAGAGCCACATTTTGAAAACCACTGGCTCTCAATCCGTGAAGTCCTTGCAAATTTTGGAAACGAATGCGCGCCGCGCTAAGGCGAGAGGCACATTTTTTAAACCGCTCGCCCTCATTCAGCGAAGATGCTACCATTTTTTAAACTTCGTAATCATAAATGGTGAGGAAGTGTCTCAGGCGAACTGCCCGCCCTACAAACTGGCCTCGGGGTGCGACAAGGAGAAGTTATTGATAAGGAAAGGCATGGAGGAGGAGGAGGAAGGAGGAGAACAGCTTCGCTGTGCGAGCGCGCACCCTCCAGCATGTCCGTCGCGTTTGGGGGTCGAGAGTGGGGTCGCTTGCATGCGGACCGCTGCGCCGCTTGAGCGACGAACAACAACGGGGTCGTCTGCATCGACGTTGGCGCGCAAGCTGCCCGCGCAAGCTCGCGCGCAAGCGCCCTCGCTTCCGACTCAGCATGCCGTGCTGGTGGCCCGCCGAAGCCTACTGCGTGAAGTCGCTGCGTCATCTCGCGTAAGACCCGATTTTGATCGTTGCTCACTTGTCGGGCGAAGAGAACTATACACATGCACCGATCCTGGCAAGGCCCATCCTTGACCCAGGATCGGTGCATATACCTTCCTGGCCAGGTAGAGGGCGTATGCACCGATCCTGGGCTCAGGATGGGCCTGGCCAGAATCGGTGTATGTGCTTAGTTCTCTTTCCTCTAACTTGAAGGTCCGCGCGGACTTCTCGGATCGGCGCTGGAGGCGCCGCCGGGGGGGTCCAGCGCCGATCCGAGAAGTTTGCGCGAACCTCTGATATTTTGTGTTTATGTCCTTGTTTGCTCCCCTACGGAAGGGGGAAGGGGGGGGCGAGGTTCGAGGCTTTGAGTCCGAGTTTATTTTTTCTGTTCGGTGACGAGTGAAGGGGGTGAAAAAAAAGGAAAAGGCCTTCTGAGAAGGCGGCGGAGCTTCTCAGAAGCCCTCTGGCCTTCTGAGAAGTCTTCTGTGTCTTCGGGGAAGGCGTAGACAAGTTCTCAGAAGGCCGGGGGACTTCCAAGCCTTTGGGAAGGCCCGCCCCTTCTCTTTCCCCCACGGGCTCGATTTTTGTTGGGGGGTGTTGTGTTCCCAAGCAAGAAACATTTTCGGCCTTTAGGGGGCGCTTCCGGGCCCCAGGACCGCCGTCAAAAACAGATCCGGGTGGAAAAGTTGCACCAGCTGGACCCCGGGAGGGGTCCCGGGGGGGAGACCGACTTTGAGCGGATCTGCCCCAAACGCCCTTCTCGACCAGTTTTCTCGGGGCCCATCCAGTAGGAACGTGTCTTGGAGCGTTTTGGCAATCGCAGCGTTCGGACAAAAAAAATCAGGGGAGGAACGATATACGCATGCATCTAG